AAAAAAAAAAAAAAAAAAATCTTACACTTTATAAAATATTTTGGAATGTGGCTCATATAATGTCAAAATTTGCTAATTCAGCCAACATTTCTTTCAGTGTTTAATACTTTACATACCTCATAAATTATTAGTATACTTTAGATAAACAAACATTTTATGTTTTGTATTTTAACCTCGTTTTTTGACTGACAGAAAACACATTTTAAGTGTAAATTCTGCCAATTTGACTAAATCATTTATAGACTCATTAAATACAACTCTCTGTGTTATCTTTTCTGAAAAATTAAAAGTTCTTTACCGAAATATGGTTGAAAGCCTACACACTTTTGCTTGTGAGGAAAGAAAATACCTTGCCCTTTTCTGCAAAATTAACCACAAATTCTGCTAAAATATGAAATTTACTTGTGTTGCATCAACCCTCAAGCTACATTGATGGTTATTTTGACTGTCTTACACAAGAAAAAAGAATGTGACATTGAAGAGAAAACAGCAAGTAGCTCTTTTGTGGCTTATATATGTTTTTGTCACATCCTCTCAAACACCTCTCCCTTTCACAGCAGTGGTTCAAATATACTGCAATATTTGTCACAGTGTGGGTGTCCCGGTCTGCACTCTGATATTTACTATCTTTTCTTTCTTTTAATGTCAGCGGTGACCCACTACATTGGTCTTATTACCCACTAAGGTCTATTTTCCCACAGTTTGAAAAACACTACTTAAGACATTCTGTGTGCCAATGGCCTCCAGCTGGACATTATTTTTAATTTAATTTGCCCCTTCCAAATAAATTAGTCTATTTCCTGTCCCCTAAAACTCCATTGCAGATAAAAATGTATTTTCTTATAAAGAGCTGATATCTTTTCATATATAGAAATTTCCAAACAACTTTGAGATCATCCACCTTCTTACCCTATTCTGAACCTCTGGAGAGTTGTTAAACCAAATTAAAACTACAAAACTCAATCTTCAGTGTTACCACCTTGCAGTGTAAACCTGATATAAATTGAATATTAAAATGAGCTCATCTAATACTCACTCATCAGAATTTAAAAAAGAGTCATTTATCCACTTCCATTTCTTCTCTGGTAACGAAAAGTTTAATCCAATCCAAAATGGAATGGCTTTGTCATGTATCAGCTTCTGTGTGAGTCTCTACAAATGGAATAGAAGAATATGAAGTCTGCTTATCTATTCCTAGTTTGGTCCCCTAAAACCTAGTTCAAGCATCACCCCATCTCTGAAGTCTTTCCTAACTCGTCAGCATTATTTCTTCTTTGTGATATTTCTCTCTATATTTTTATTTATATTACTGTATTCATCACCTTACATTCAATTATTTGCTTACAAGTCATTCAAATTGGGAAGTCAGAGTCTTCACTTCCATTGCATAAAACCTCTGGGCTAAGGCACAGACCTATTAGTATGGTGTAAAGAAAGTGCTAAGTTTTATTAAGGTATTTTGTTTCATGATTTACCAATTCTTCCTTATCTTGAATAAGCAGCAAACGGGATTCTTTTGTGGAACAGTCAGCTAGACTGTTATTCCAAGGGTTGACAGTGTCAGAAAGTAACAAACATTTCTCTCCGACTTTCTTCCAAGATATTGGGCAGTTTAAGAGACTCAGTCTCTCTAAAGTAAAAAACAGAAATAAGAAATAAATGTTATATTTCTAACCTGTCTCTGACAAACCACAACCAATCATACACACGTCATTATAAATGCTCAAAGTCCCAGCCTGGCCAACACAGTAAAACTCCATCTCTACTGAAAACAAAAATGAGCTGGATGTGATGGCTGGTGTCTATAATCCCAGCTACTCGGGAGGCTGAGGCAAAAGAATCACTTGAACCTGGGAGGTGAAGGTTGCAGTGAGCCAAGATCGTGCCACTGCACTCCAGCCTGGGCAACAGATTGAGACTTCATCCCCCACCCCCCCAAAAAAATGCTCAAAGTCTTTGATTATCACTGTGAGAACTATGAATTTGTTATATAAAGTTGAGGTTTTTGAAATCTACTGTTCATCTGGTACCAAGAATTGGGAATTAGTGACCAGTTATCTTGAGCATAAATGGAATCATAAAATATTAAACTAGGAAGATACCATCAGAATAATTTATACTGCCACATCTTACATTTTAAGACAGTGAGAGACAGAATAACTTGTTCAACTCCATCCCGTCAGATGCATTGTTCTAAACTCATCACCAGTGCCTATTCCACTACATGGGCAACAGTATAAAACTAATGTAAAAAGTGCTGACTTTAAATGATGCACAGAATGCACAGCAAATCATAATAATTTTCACTAAATTCATGAGAGATAAGAACATTTCTGATTGCTAAATGATGTATTTACCTACCTACTGTGATCTGTTGGATAGAATTTTCCAGAAGGACTTTCAGGGTTTCTTAAAACTTCTGTGAGAATGTGCACACAGCTCACATTCCACTACAGTCACTCAACAGTCACCTGTGTTTTTATTAATACATGCTGGAACAAGACTAATGTGGCCACATGATGAGGAAATATAATAACAGTAAAGAATTCACTCTATGTTTTGAGTTCTATCATTTAACTTCAGACCAAACTTAAAGCTCACTAAAATAATCAAATATTTCACATATTTTCCTATCAACAATGGAATATCCCAGAGAGCTCCTCATGAGGCAGCGTGCCCTGCTGGTTAAGACCTTAGGCTCAGAAGTCAGACCACTTACATATCATTCCCAGCCTCATCACTTGGTGCTTATGTGACCCTCAGCAAGTTGTTGAGTGTTTTTATGGCTCAGTTTTCTAACACAGAAAAGCAGAATGATAAGGATAACTTAACATATGGACTGTTGTGAATTGTACCTAAGGTAACACATGGTATCTACAAAATATTAATTGTTATTCTTAGGAAATTCAAACCACACAATTACCTGTTGTTTTACTCATGTTCTGTTGAATGTCCACACTGCATTTTTCTATTGATGATTTCCGTATTAACGATGTCACTAGTACATAAGGAAACGTCATTAAGAGGGTTAAATGCTGAAATGCGTGGTAAGGTGGATATATTACATTTGTCACTTCGGGAAACAAAAGAATCTCAACCAGCTTGAATGTGGATAAAAGATAAAGATAATAGCAATGTGGTTAAAAAAAAAAAAAGATCTGACCTACAGGAAGCATACAGAAACAAATAAGAAAAAACAAAACAGGTGGACTCACACAGGCATTAGATTGACAGATAAGTCAGTCTAAGGGCATTACTTAAGCTCTTAAATTGCCTACAGTGTCACCCAAACTTTATCATCTTCAAAGTGAGTCTAATTGTTCCTGTTCCAGGAGAGGGACCATCTGCTGCAATCTGGAATGGTAGTAGGCACATGATGAACCATAAATAACTGGAAACTTTTCTTTTCTTTGTTATCATCTTTGGTCACACTTGTCATATTTCTAAAACGTTCTTGGAGCACATGTATAATACCCCGTGATGACTCTCAGGGCAATTAAGAAGACAAATATGAAAGGCTGGTATCCGAAGTGGATACGGACTGACTGTTCGAAGCCTTCTTTCATGATTTTTTATTCATTGATCTTTTTTTTTTTTCATTTTTTTTTTTTTTCATTGATCTTTCACTAAGTTTGAGGTGGCCAAATTCTGTGGAGATGCTCTAATACACATGATGGAAGTAGAGTAGCTATCATTAAACAAATGATGGTACCTCACTTACCTGAAACACTCAACCCAGTAACAACCAAGGCAAGAAGAATAATCCCAGCACAGCTAAGTTTCAGGGCAAATTGGTGCCAAGGTGAACCCTGACAGACATCTGAGAAGTTAAAAACAAAAACTCAGTTAACTCAGTTGAGTACATCTGGTACAAAAATGTACTTGAGATAACATAGGGACAATTAGATTCAGCTTGGGGGCTGGGAGCAGGAAACAACCTCTATCAGCCATTCTAAAAGGACACTCCTGCAAGATGGGCTCTCAGATCCAACAGAGTTTGCTCATTGATAAAATAGGAACACTTATGCATGTGTGTATACAAAGGATTGGTATAAGAATTAAATAACAGAGACGTTTTGAAAATTGTCAAGTGCCATACAAAAATGAAGTACATGTCTTAATGTAGGAAGTAAGTCAAAGCATTTTGTCCCAGAAGGAAGACCTTCATTTAGTCGAGATACTTTTTGAGGCTGTACTTTGTGCCAAGCACCGTGTTAGGTGCTGGTGATACACAGAAATTCTGATCTGGAACATGGAATCCTCTGGTTTTCTGTTGTCTAGAACGATCATCTCCAAGGTGGGTCAAATGTATGGCATTCAAGGAAGAAGGCTTTTCGACTGCATATCATTTTCAATATTATAACTAATATAACATAATGTGTACTTATGTCTACAACATTACATATACAAAGTGTCAGATATCTCTGCTTTTCTCTGTAATCAAATCAATTACTATATAATGAATCTGTTTCTTTGCTCCAGGATGGCTATAAAAGCCATTTCTGCTTTTTCTGGTACGTTACCCTTGACGATTAAGTTGTGCAGTCCAGTTTGCCGACCTGATAATACAATCTCTCACATTAGGATGCTGACACTTATAGAAGTGAATTAGCTGTCTCTAGAACAGCCCTGAGGAGATTGAGTTAGATGTGATCAAAGATTATGGGAGGAAACATGATACATTGGAGTCGGGGTTGTGACACATGAATTATCATCTGGTCTATTTAGGACATGCTGCATCAGTGGAGCTGGGAGGGAAGAGTGAATACCTAGTAGAGACTCCAAGGTCCCAGGCATACACCTGAATGTGACTAAACCAAGCTTGGTAACATTGGCCTAGAACTTCTAATGAGAGCTAGTGTGATACAACAATGGCTAAATGCAGTCAATGAGCCCAAGACAGCACCGGGGTGTCTTTTCTTCCAGTTTTACATACGTACATTATTTCACCTTTCTGTCTTCTCTTCCTCACCCTTTTCTTCCTTGAAACTCTGTTTGCCAAGTTAAGAAAGCTCTGTATAGTCACTATTTTAATTGTGTTAATTCTATTACTAAAGTTAATTCTATTACTAAATTTAGTAATAGAATTTAGTAATTCTATTACTAAAATTGATTTAGTAATTTTCATTACTAAAGTCTAACCTTAAGAACTTTCCAAACTAGCAAATCTGAGTGTCAACATACTATTTTGGAAAACATGTTCAACCTTCATAATCCACAGATTTCCTCACCTGTAAAATGTGGAATATCTGTGTTGTGATATTTTAGAGAGGCTTATATGAAACAATTCTTGTAAATGCTGGATACCATGTCTGGAACACGGTAACTGTTCAATGAACAGCAGTTCTTTTTTTCTAAAAAGTTTTTTCTTTTTTAAACTATAGTTAAAAGGCAACTTGGTGACTTTTAAAAATTGTTATTCATTGATGCTAAAATCTAAGGAATTGAGTGGAGTGTTCTTTGTCTGGGAGGAATGCAGTCCTGTACTGTGTTTCTGTGACACCGCATGAGATTAGAATTAATGAAGTTATAATAAATCACTACAGAGGTCAGGCGGACGTTAGTTATCTAGAAATACCTACCCAGGGCAATTCTGCATTTGGGTTTTTAAAAGTATGTTAAATCATCTCAGTTCACTGTTCTAAACCTTCCAATGGCTTTCTGTCAGGCAAATCTGAGTGTGTAGAATGGCTCGTGCATCCCTATTCAAGCCGGCCCCCACTGCTTCACTGCCCCCTCCCCCGTGGCCTCCATGCGCACGCTTTGCAGGCATACGCCTCCTGCAATGTCACAGGCATGTTTTCATTTTGAGGTTTTTGCACTTGTTGGTCACCTTCCTAGAAGGCGCCTCTCTCAGGAGCTTATGGCTTTGTCCCTTACTTCTGTCAGGTTTTGAACTCAGTCGTCTTCTCAGGAAGGCCTTCCTGGATGATTCTGTTTGATATGCTACCCTCCCCCAAAGCTAAATCCTATTTTCAAATTCTTCTCAATAACACTAACACCATCTCATCTTTTGTACCAACTCAGTTATTTGTTTATTTTGTTGATTGTTTGCCTCCATTGTTCTATAAACTCTATGAAGGAAAAGAATTTTTTCTCTTTTGTTCACTGCTGTGTTCACAGCCTGCCTGGCACAGAGTAGGTGCTTATTTTTAAACAAATGAATAAACTCTAGAGGCATTTTTGCAAACACCTTATCCACTCCTCTAACAGACCAAACCTGTGGCCATTTGGCCAACAGCAAGATAGGCGGTTATCACTCACACGTCTCTTTCTGGTTCTGCTGACTGCCTTAGATACAATCACCATGCTACAGAGTGACCGCAGCCTGCACCGTTTAACGGAGTCCCGTCGTGGTTTTACAATTCTTTAATATCAGACTAGTGTTCTATATAGTCACGTTTTTTGCTCTGGCTTTTTTCTGCTTTTTTTTAAAGTTTACTTTCAGAATAGCATTTTATAGGATAATTATTACAATCCAAGTAGAAAAATTTTCTGCATCCATTGGTTTGAGATCATAGCAACATTTAGGAAAAGTCTCATTATTTTTCTCTATATTCATTTTCTGACAATGCCCACCCCCCACCATTTGCTAGATCTGAAGAGAGTTGAAAAGAAAGACTTATACTCTTTTCTTTAAAAATGTTTGCTCAACCAAATCCTCCTTAAGTTATTAGAACACTCCAATTTCCTCTACGCTTACATGAAGATTATAGTGAAACTTAATTGATGGCTCTTAAGACTTTATTCTCTAAAACCTTGAGAATTCAATAGTTTAAAACTTAAACGGTCTTAAGACAGTACAAGTCAGATGCTTGGCATGATATGCAATGAATATCGGAATGGTAAACGATTGTACTATTATCAAAGACAGTAAATTCAGTTAGATGTCAGAAAAGAATAATGTGTCATAATAATTTCATGCTTATTTTCTGCCTCAGTGTCTAGTCTCTGCTCATCCATCCCCAGGCCATGCTATCCATCATGTATCACCTCATACTGGTGTTCCTGCTTCTTTCACTCAGAATCCTAACTCTTCAGAGACCTAGGAAAGTGCCAGTTTCCACAAATTCGAAGTAGGCTCATTACTGATACGCTCGAGTATCTTGTGGCTTATCTCCTTCTAAGCTGCGACACTTTTTAAACTAGAAACTATCAGGCAGTAATAATGTTCAAATCTTTCATCTTTAATATGTTTTTTTTTTCCAGAGAGTTTTCCTCTCTTGAGAGAGAATGTTACTCATTAAGCCTACATGATTATTATTATTACTTTGAGACAGAGCCTTGCTGTGTCACCCAGGCTGGACTGCAGTGGCACAGCTACAGCTCACTGCAGCCTTGATCTCTTGAGCTGAAGCAATCCTCCCATCTCAGCCTCCCAAGTTGCTGGGACCACAGGCATGTGCCACCACACTTGGCTATTTTTTTTTCTCATTGTTTGTAGAGACCAGGTTTTGCCACATTGCCCAGGTTGGTCTTGAACTCCTGGACTCAAGGGAACCACATGCCTCAGCCTAGCAAAGTGCTGGGATTACAGGCATAAGCCACTACAACTGGCCTATACTTTGTATTCTGAAAGGAATATTATGGATGAAAATGCACTGGGACTTAATCACAGTGTTGATATTTTGTAGAGGAATTTAGAATAATGTAGGTCACTATCACAGCAAGTTTGCAATGTGTCTTAAATATTCCTTATTTCATACATGTAAAATGTTTTTTCTTTCCTCCCTTCATTCCTTCCTTCCTCCCTCTCCTTTCTTTCTTTATTTCTCTCTTTCTTTCTTCCTCTCCCTCCCTTCCTCCCTCCCTTTCTTTCTTTCTCTTTCCTCTCTCTCCTCCCCGCTCTCCTCCTTTCTCTCCCTCCCTTCCTTTCTTCTTTTCTTTCTTTCTTTCTTTCTTTCTTTCTTTCCTTCTTTCTTTCTCTCTCCCTCCCTTCCTCTCTCTCTCTTTCTTTCTTTCTTTCTTTTTCTTTTCTTTCTTTCCTTCCTTCCTTCCTTCTTTTCTTTTCTTTCTTTTTTTCTTTTCTAATACTAATCCTTATGGAGCAGGGTAACCCATAGGCAGTGTGCCCAGGGTAGCCTAAACTATTGTTTCTTCCAAGTCTTTTAACCAAGACTCAGTAAGAGAAGTGATGTTTGCCTTTCATGCAAACTCAATGGGAAAAAAAAGAAACGTATGAGGCTTACAATTATTTTTCAAAGTTGTCATTACCTACAGGCAAGTCATACAACACCTATTAATATAAAACTGCTGATCATCTTTAAAGCAGTGATTTAAAGCCATAAATGTAAGAGAAAAATCTAATTCTGGAAGATACACAAATGCCAAAAGGAAAAGTAAAGCCACTTACCCCGAGGAAGAGATGAAGGTGAAGAACTTTCTGGGCCTGAGTCCCTGGGTAAGTTTAAATCAGCATACACCACCTGGTCCATTGCAGAAGAGGAAGGGGGCATTAGACTTGTGTATAAGAACAAACTCTCAATTCCGTGAGGCAAAATCTGAAAAAGGAAGTGCTCTACTTGTAGTACTTTGTTGTCTCTCTTTTGTCCCCACCTACCTACGCTTCTATTGGGGGGTTTCTCTCTAAATTACTGAGACAATCCACTTACTGCACGTTCATTGTACCTAGCTATGTAACATCTACTTTCCTTAATTAATTGGCCTGTTGCTTGACAAAATTCCGGGAGGCTCGTTTGTTCTCGTTTTTCCAGCCATCCCTTCTGTGTTCCCCTCTCAGGGCCAGAACCAGAGCGAAGCAAATGAGGCAATCACCTAGAGTTCCAATTAAGGGCCCCATAAAACTCAGTCATTAACATAAATAATATTTGATGCAATTTTGTAAAAGTAAAAATTAATGCAAAAAAAGTCCATAATGCTATTCAAAAGCTCTAAAATCTTCCTGAAATACCTGTGCTCCAAAGAAAGTTGTGAAATGTAAAAAACGGGAACATAAATCTTGAGAAAGCCCCCTGAATAAAACAACAGAAAAAGCAGTGTGCTAAAGATCAACGGCCTACCCTTAGCTTAGCTTTAAAGGCGCTCTTGGATATGATAGCATTTCCACATGACTAAAAGTATTTGGAAACTGCCAGAGTTACAGGAAGTGGAGTATATGGAATTTTTATCTCTTTCAAAGATTTTCAGGTGTAGAAACTTAGAGCAAGATCTTAGGTGCCTCCAAGTCTAACATTCTCACAATACAGGTTAAAAAAAAAAAACAGGAGGGATCCAAGATGGCCAAATAGGAACAGCTGTGGAGTGCAGTTCCCAGTGAGAGCAGCGCAGAGGGTGAGTGCTCACCACATTTCCAAACAAGTTTTCACTGCCCACAGACCAGGAGATTCCTGGGCTGAAAAAGCGCCATGAGTTTTCTGCACGGCAGTTTCAGCCGGTGCCATGTCGGCACTCAGAAACTCACACAAGTCTGGGCTGCGCTTTTGGCTGGCTCTCGGAATGCCTGGGTGACAGAGCCACCTGTTCAACTGAAAGGGAGGGGGCTAAGACAGGGAGCCAGGGGATCTGGCTGAGCGGGTACCACCCCCACAAAACAAGCAATCTGAAATGCTCTGGTTTTGCAGCAAGCGCAGCTGAACCCAGGACCATCCAGCTCAGTGCAGGGATGGGTGTACCCCACTACCGAGGCAGTCCTCTGAGACTGAGGCAGTTCACAAAGCAGCAGAGCAGAGCCTGTGGTAGCTCAGCAACACCTCTGCTGGCAGACTGTAACGAGACTACTCCGTGTGGGGCAGGGCATCTATAAAAAAAGGCAGCAGCACAAGAGGGATTTATAAATAAAGCCGACCTTCCTGGGATAGAGCATCTGGGGAATGAGTTCAGCTGCAGCAGACTGAAAGGTACCTGCCCAGCAGCTCTGCACAGAACAGTGAAGTTCCCAGCACTTGAGCTCCTATAAGGGACAGACTGCCTCCTCAAGCAGCTCCCTGGCCCCCGTATACCCAAAGAGACACCTCATGAAGGGAAGATCAAGCCAACATCTGGTGGGTACCCTTCTGGGTGGATGATAGCAGAGGAAGAAACCCGTGGCAACCCTTGCTGTTCTGTAGCCCCTGTGGGCAATCCCCGGTGAGGAGGTTCTGGAGTGGACCTCCAGCAGTCCTGCAGCAGAGGAGCCAGACTGTTAGAAGGAAAACTAAGAAGCAGAAAGAAATAGCTTCAACATCAACAAAAAGGACATCCACTCAGAGACCCCATCCAAAAGTCACCAACTACAAAGACCACAGGTATCTAAAACGACTAAGATGGGAAGACACCAGTGCAAAAAGGAGGAAGAAACCAGAACACCTCTCCTCCTCCAAGGGATCACAGCTCCTCACCAGCTAGGGATCAAAGATGAATGGAGAATGAATCGGATGAGTCGACAGACACAGGCTTCCAAAGGTGGGTAATAACAAACTTCTCAGAGCTAAAAGAACATGTGTAACCATGTTTAACCCAATGCAAAGAAACTAAGAACCTAGAAAAAAGGTTAGATGAGATGCTAACTAGGATAAACAGCTTAGAGAAGAATATAAACGACTTGATGGAGCTGAAAAATGCAGCACAAGAACTTTACGAAGCATATACAAGTTTCAATAACTGAACTGACCAAGCAAAAGAAAGGATATCAGAGACTGAAGATCAACTCAATGAAATAAAATGAGAAAGCAAGAATAGAGAAAAAAGAGTGAAAAGAAATGAACAAAGCCTCAAAGAAATATGGGATTATGTGAAAAGACCTGATCTAGGTTTGATAGGTGTACCTGAATGTGACAGAGAGAATGAGTTCAAGCTGGAAAACACTCTTCAGGATATTATCCAGGAGTACTTCCCCAACCTAGCAAGGCAGGCCACCATTCAAGTCCAGGAAATACAGAGAACACCACAAAGATATTCCTCAAGAAGAGCAACCCCAAGACACATAATCATCAGATTCACCAGGGTTGAAATGAAGGAAAAAAATGCTAAGGGCAGCAAGAGAGAAAGGTCGGATTACCCACAAAGGGAAGCCCATCAGACTCACAGCGGATGTCTTGGCAGAAACTCTACAAGCCAGGAGAGAGTGGGGGACCAATATTCAACATCCTTAAAGAAAAGAACTTTCAACCTAGAATCTCATATTCAGCCAAACTAAGCTTCATGAGTGAAGGAGAAAGAAAATCCTTTATGGACAAGCAATTGCTGAGAAATTTTGTCACCACCAGGCCTGCCTTACAAGAGCTCCTGAAAGAAGCACTAAACAAGGAATGGGGGCCAGGTGTGGTGGCTCATGCCTATAATCCCAGCACTTTGGGAGGCTAAGGCAGGTGGATCACGAGGTCAAGAGATCAAGACCATTCTGGTCAACATGGTGAAAGCCCGTCTCTACTAAAAATACAAAAATTAGTTGGGCATGGTGGTGCATGCCTGTAGTCCCAGCCACTCTAGAGGCTGAGGCAGGAGAATTGCTTGAACCCAGGAGGCGGAGGTTGCGGTGAGCCGAGATTGTGCCGTTGCACTCTAGCCTGGGTAACAAGAGTGAAACTCAGTCCCAAAAAAACAAAAAACAAAAAACAAAAACAAACAAAAAAAAACAAGGAAAGAAACAACCAGTACCAGCTGCTCCAAAAATGCACCAAATGGTAAAGACCATCTACACAATAAGGAAAATGTGTTAACTAATGGGCAAAACAACCAGCTAGCATCAAAATGGCAGGTTCAAATTCACACATAACGATATTAACCTTAAATGTAAATGGACTAAATGCCCCAATCAAAAGACACAGACTGGCAAATTGGATAAAAAGTCAAAAACCATCAGTGTGCTATATTCAGGAAACCCATCTCACATGCAAGGATACACATAATCTAAAAATAAAGGGATGGAGGAAGATTTATCAAGCAAATGGAGAGCAAAAAAAAAAGCAAGAGCTGAAATCCTAGTCTCTGATAAAATGAACTTTAAACCCACAAGATGAAAAGAGACAAAGAAGGGCATTACATAATGGTAAAAGGATCAATGCATCAAGAGCTGACGATCCTAAATATATGCGCACCCAATACAGGAGCACCCAGGTTCATAAAGAAAGTTCTTAATGACCTACAAAGAGACTTAGACTCCCACACAATAATAGTGGGAGAGTTTAACACACCACTGTCAATATTAGACAGATCAATGAGACAGAATCCAGGACTTGAACTCAGATCTGGACCAAGCGAACCTAACAGATATCTACAGAAATCTCCACCCTAAATCCACAGAATTTACATTCCTCTCAGCACCGCATGACACCTACTCTAAAATTGATCATATAATTTGAAGTAAGTCACTCCTCAGCAAATGCAAAAGAACAGAAATCATAACAAATAGTCTCTTAGACCACAGTGCAACCAAATTAGAACTCAGAATTAAGAAACTAACTCAGAACCGTACAACCTCATGGAAACTGAACAACTGGCTCCTGAATGTCAACTGGATAAACAATGAAATGAAGGCAGAAATAAAGACGTTCTTCGAAACCAACAAGAACGAAGACACAACATACCAAATCTCTAGGGCATATTTAAAGCAGTGTCTAGAAGAAAATTTATAGCAATCAATGCCCACCAAAGCAGCGAGGAAAGATCTAAAATTGACACCCTATCATCAAAATTGAAAGAGTTAGAGGAGCAAGATCAAAAAAGCTCAAAAGCTAGCAGAAGACAAGAAAAAACTAAGATCACAGCAGAATTTCAGGAGATAGAGACAAAAAAATCCTTCAAAAAATCCATAAATCCAGGAGCTGGTTTTTTTGAAAAGATCAAAAAAATAGACCACTAGCCAGATTAATAAAAAAAGAAAAGGAAGAAGAATCAAATAGATGCAATAAAAAAAGATAAAGGAGATATCACCACTGACTCTACAGAAATACAAATTACAATCAGAGACTACTACAAACAACTCTAAGCATATAAACCAGTAAACCTGGAAGAAATGGATAAATTCCAACATCTGGCGGGTACCCTTCTGTGACGGTGATAGCAGAGGAAGAAACCTGCGGCAACTCTTGCTGTTCTGCAGCCCCCGCAGGCAGTCCCCAGGTGAGCAGGGTCTGGAAAGGACATCCAGCGGTCCTGCAGCAGAGGAGCCAGACTGTTAGAAGGAAAGCTAAGAAGCAGAAAGAAATAGCTTCAACATCAACAAAAAGGACTTGCACCCTCCCAAGCCTAAACCAGGAAGAAGCTGAAACCTTGAACAGACCAGTAACAAGGGCTGAAGTTGAGGCAGCAATTAATAGCCTACCAACCGAAAAAAGTCCAGGTCCAGACAGGCTTACAGCTGAATTCTACCAGACTTACAGAAATGAGCTGGTACCTTTCCTTCTGAAACTATTCCAAACAATCCAAAAAGAGGGAATCCTTCCCAAATTATTTTATGAGACCAACATCATCCTGATACCATAACTCGGCAGAGACTCAACAAAAGAAGAAAACTTCAGGCTGATATCCATGGTGAACATAGATGTGAAAATCTTCAATAAAATACTGGCAAACTGATTGCAACAGCACATCAAAAAGCTTATCCATCACGATCAAGTAGGCTTCATTCCAGGGATGCAAGGCTGGTTCAACATACGCAAGTCTATAAATGTAATCCATCACATAAACAGAACCAAAGACAAAACCCACATGATTATCTCAATAGATGCAGAGAAGGTCTTTGACAAAATTCAACAGCCCTTTATGCTAAAAACTCTCAATAAACTAGATATTGAAGGAACATATCTCAAAATAATAAAAACTATTTATGACAAACCTACAGCCCATATCATACTGAATGGGCAAAAGCTGGAAGCATTCCCTTTGAAATCCGGCACTAGACAAGGATGCCCTCTGTCACCACTCCTATTCAAAACAGTATTGGAAGTTCTAGCCAGAGAAATCAGGCAAAGAAAAAAAAAGGAGTATTCAATTAGGACAAGAGGAAGTCAAATTGTCTCTATTTGCAGATGACATGATTGTATATTTAGAAGACCCTATCATCTGAGCCCATAATCTCCTTAAACTGATAAGCAACTTCAGCAAAGTCTCAGGATACAAAATCAATGTGCAGAAATCAGAAGCATTTCTACACACCAATAATAGACTAACAGAGAGCCAAATCATGAGTGAACTCCCATTCACAATTGCTACAAAGAGAATAAAATACCTAGGAATACAATTAATGATGTAAAGGACCTCTTCAAGGAGAACTACAAACCACTG